ATATGTGGCTGGTGCCTTAGCCACTTCAGTAGGGTGACCAGAAGTCCCACTTTTTAACAATTTGTCCCGCATCTCACTGTGTTTTAAAAAAGTCCAGATTTTTCGAAAGAATGCACGAAAGGGCAGGAGAACAGAAAGGGAAGGTATGGTTTTCAGCTGCCATGTGGCTATTTCGCCAGAATATGAGTTTTATATTATTTTTGTTAATTTTATAATGTTAAACTGTAATAATTAAGAATAATTGTTGAGAAGTGATTATCGAGAACTGCTTATCCAAGTTTACATTGCTGTCAGGCCCCACCCTGCCTCATCCCCTGCCCACCCCCCCCATGTTGTCCCGCCTTACAAATGTTAAAATCTGGTCACCCTATGCTTGAGCCACAGGCGCCAAGCCTCCATTAGATTTTTTGATCCACTAGAAACTTGTATGGAAATAATGTGATCTGCTTTATTTGCCTTAAAATGCCACTAGGATAGTTGGAATTGGTTATTGAAAATGATGACACAGGGCGGCACCTGTGGCTCAGTAAGTAGGGTGCCGGCCCCATATATCGAGGGTGGTGGGTTCAACCTGCAACAGAAAATAGCCAAGTGTTGTGTTAGGAACCTGTAGTCCCAGCTACTCGGGAGGCTGAGGCAAGAGAATCACCTAAGCCCTAGAGCTGGAGGTTGCTGTGAGCTGTGACAACATCGCACTCTACTGAGGGCAACAAAGTGAAACTCTTGTCTCAAAAAAAAAAAAAAAAAGAAAGAAAAGAAAATGCACAATAATGAAAAATTTTAAAGTATTTTGAATAGTACTATCTCTACTTGTGATGGGTTTTATTATAAACTATCTCTACTATTATGCAAGATGTTTGCATTTCTATCATAATATTTAAATAAAGCACAGAAATCTTTGAATAAAAATGCCTACCATGCTGTATGCCAGCCCCGTTTCATAAGGAAAGAAGACAATTATCTTCCTGCACATCATAATGAATTCTGAGGATCATCACATCTAGCTATGAAAATTGCAGGTGAATGAGTAGAGGACAGTGCAGCATTAGAATTGGGAAGAGAGCACTCTAAATGTCTCCCCCAAATATGGACAGTAGTGCTACCAAAAGTCTTTTTTTTGAGACAGAGTCTCACTATGTCCCACTCTATAGAGTGCTGTAGTGTCACAGCTCACAGCAACCTCAAACTCTTGGGCTTAAGTGATTCTCTTGCCTCAGCCTCCTAAGTACCTGGGACTACAGGCGCTTGCCACAACCCCGGCTATTTTTTGTTGTAGTTGTCATTGTTGTTTGGCAGGCCCAGGCAAGGTTTGAACCCTCCAGCTCTGGTGTATGTGGCTGGTACCCTAGCCACTGAGCTGCTACCAAAAGTCTTTGCACATGATTATCTCTGTTGGTATTACTGAGAAATGTCATTCTGACCTAAGGACACCATTGAATTTTCCTAAAACTCTGTGAGTTAGAGAAATATGTCTCCTATATGTTGAATGTAGAATTGTCCCTGGATTGACAGTGTGCTCTACAGCTACCACACCATTACAGTGTTCCTTGTTTGATGTGCCAGACCTCACAACCAAGGACTGAAATTCTACTGAGAGACTGGCCAGACCCTTATCAGACACTGTGCATAATGCACTCCACGCCCCTTGTTACCTAGTCCAACCATGAACTTTCCTTTGCTTTGTGCAGACAACAGGATGAGAAGGAGCTGGTGCTGTGCCCATCCATCAGTGCCCTTTTTGGAGGCTGAGGCCCTGACCGTTGTATCAGTATGGGTGGGCTGCTGATCCCTTAAGGCTCTGGATGAACTTCTTAGACTTCAGGCATTTCTCAGAAGCCTAGATCCCACACCCTACCTGCCCAGTCACAGAAATCACATGTTTTAAGCATATACATCATAGTTTGTAGTATATTTGCAGAGTTGTATAATCACAATCCTGGGGTTCCTTCCTCCTGGGGCCACATTATTCTTGGTTCTGTGCATAATTACTGGAAGGGGGATGGTACCCACCAGACAGCAGGTGTATGGAGTGATCCATCTGTGGTGACTTCCTGCTTGCAGCTCCTTGCTTTCTCTCAGAACACTCTCTCTCTCACTCTTGGGCCTGAGGAGAGATGGTGGGAGGGAGAGAATTGTCTCTCATCTCTCACACAAAAGTAGGTTTATGCTATCACTTCTCTTAGGCCAGGGAATTCAAAGTCCTCAGAGCTGCACTTCAGTGTGGTAGCCACAGGCCAGCCACATGACTACAGGGCATCTGGAATGTGGCTGATCTGAACTGAGATATGTTATACACTTAAAATATAAGATTAAGTTTTAAAGATACTGCACCAAAAAATATTCCATTAATAATTTTATGCTGATAAAATGGAAAAAAAATAATATTTTGAATACTTTGGGCTAAACTATTTCAATTTTACTGGTTTTTCTTTCACTTGACTACTAGAAAACTTTAAATAACACGTGGCTCACAATTTATTTCTATTGGACATTGCTGATTTAGAGGACTTCCTCTATTTTCAAAGCTCAGGCTGCCTCTTCAAAAAGACCAGAAGACAGGAAAGCTACAAAATCTCATACTTTAAAATAATTTACATTACGTTATTTCCATTTGTGAATAACGTTATATTTGATCTTTGTGTGCATATATGCATGTATATATAACATTCGCAAAATTCATTAATTCGACATAATTTATGTTCAAGATTAAATATAAATGCCCCCCATACTCCCAAGCAGGGCCAGTTCCCAAAGCAGGGGTAAAGCCTAAAATAGCTTCAGATGGCCCACGTGCAGTGGCTCAGGCCTGTAATCCCAGCACTCTGGGAGGCCGAGGCGGGTGGATTGCCTGAGCTCACAGGCTTGAGAGCAGCTTGAGCCAGAGCGACGTCTCCTCTCTAAAAGATAGCCGGAAATAGCCAGGCGTTCTGGTGGGGCGCCCCTAGTCCCAGCTACTCAAGAAAATCACTTGAGTCTAAGAGTTTGAGGTTGCTGTCAGCTATGATGCCAGAGCGCACTACTGGAGGGTGACAGAGTGAGACTCTATCAACAAACAAACAAACAAACAAACAAACAAACAAACAAACGCTACAGCCAAAGCACCTGTTGGCGGGACCTCATCAGTGCGCAGCCTGATTGCGTCTCCTGTCACTCATAACCAAGAAGGTGGTCCCCGGAGCCTTATCCAATCAGGGCCGCGGATGCGGTGAGGGCTGTCCTATCAGGTACACAGCCAGAAAGAAGGCGGTGGCTTCCGGTTTCTCGCGCGGTCTTTGTCTATTCCTCGGGGTACCCAGGGTGGGTCTCTTCTGCCCTGTTCGGTCTTCGGGAGGTCTTAGGTGTCTCTGGGACCTTGTGGCTTGCAGGTATTGGGAGAATCATTGAGAGCACACCCGGAAACCCCGGAAGTTGAAAAATGGTGAGGGCGTAGTCCGTCTGTGACCGGGGGTAGGGGCTGGTGGAGCCGGCTGGAAGCGCTGTGGCGGACCAGGGCCTCGGGTCAGCTCTGGAGCCTTCAAACCAAAGTTTGGCAGTGGTACACTTTGGCCTTCGGTGTCCTCCGACACAGGGTGGGGCTGAGCAGGCAGCTGGGACCCTTAGCGTCTTGTTCTGTCCCTTCCCGTCCCTGCACATTCACTCCGGCCCTAGCCGGGAACCCTCTGTGGGCAGCTCTGCACCCGCAGCTCCGCATCTCCCCCGATAGTGTGGTGACAGAGTGAGGGTCATCGGGGGAGGAGCTCGACTTGGGTTGAGAGCTCATATGGGAGAAATTGGGCTCCTTCTTTCTCCTATTAAAAAGTAAACTGAGGGCTCGGCGCCAGCCACATACACTTGAGCTGGCGGGTTCGAATCCAGCCCAGGCCCGCCAAACAACAATGACGGCTGCAACCAAAAAATAACCAAGCGTTGTAGCGGGCGCCTGTGGTCCCAGCTACTTAGGAGGCGGAGGCAGGAGAAGCGCTTGAGCCCAGGAGTTGGAGGTTGCTGTGAGCTGTGATTCCACGGCACTCTACCCAGGATGACAGCTTGAGGCTCTGTCCCAAATAAAAAAGATTAAACTGAGGAAGAATAAAAACTTAAAAGAGTTCATTTGAGCAAATGGTAATTTGTAAATATAGACGCCCCCAACCATAGTTTGTAGTCTTGGGGCCAGTGGAGGGGCTTGAAGGAAACGCATTTATGAGGTGCGTGAGGAAGCGACCAAATTCAGTAAGTGGGTACAGTTATGTAGTCACCTTATTTGGACTATCAAGGTGACTACTTTCTGGTTATGTAATCAGAGCTTTGTTGGCCGCATTTTGTTTGCCTGTGTTTTGTTTTCCTTTAGGTTATAATTTACAGGACTCGCGTTTGAGTTAGAATTAGGTTTTCTTAAGCAGGAACCCACGGCATGACAGCCCCTATTTAATTATTTTAACACTAGCTAGGGGGGACTGATTTTCTTTGCATTTTCCAAAGCTATGACAAGCATTGTCTAAAATCCGAGCCAAATCCGGTTTGCCCAGCCTAACTGTTCTAGGGACTGTTGGAAATCCTAAATTCCTAGTACTTTCCCCACATTTCCAAATGCCTACTGCTGCTCTCCAACTCATAACGTTAACAACTGTTTGTCCTTTATTTTTCAGTCAGATATAGTATTTTAATTGTTGATCATTTTTTTCACAGAGTTTTGGGTGGCTCTTTTAAAAATAAATTGCTTTCTGTTTTTGTACATTTTACATGAGAGGAAAACAGAATAATCACCTGATCCTCCATGTAAAAAATCTTTGTGCAGTGGACTCTGTGGCTCATATACCGAGGGTGGCGGGTTCAACCTGGCCCTGGCCAAACTGCTACAAAAAAATAGCTGGGCGCTGTGGCTGGCGCCTGTAGTCCCAGGTAGTTGGGAGGCTGAGGCAAGAGAATCGCCTAAGCCCAAGAGCTGGAGGTTGCTGTGAGCTGTGATGCCATGGTACATTACCAAGGGCCACACAATGAGACTCTGTCTCTAAAAAAATAAAAAATCTTTGTGCTCTGCCTCCTTTTTATCTTTCCTAGGCTCACACACTTTACCAGATTATCTTTAGGTTGAGGTTACCCTTTGGAAGCTTAATAGGGTAAAGTAATACTGTCTTTTCCTGGTCTTGGTTTCACAGCTGTCTGA